GCCCACCGGCCCGCCTACGCCATGCCCCTCTGCCACGCCCTCGCCACGCCCCCTTTGTAGCTGCCGTAGCTGCTCTGGCTGCCTCGGCACTGGCCGCAGCTACACGGGCACTAGGCGCTGGCTCCCACCGCGTGGCCTAAGTGCTCGGACGACTGCCCTGGAGAGAAAGCTGACCCGAGACACCCCGGTCTGTCGGGAATGCCCGGGGCCTCAGTGAAGAAAGGAAAAGGGGCCGCCGAACTGGCCTTTCCGAGGCTGCAGTCGCGTGGGGCTGGGCTTGGCCTCAATCCCTCCCTCCGTTTCCCCTCCGCTCCCAAATTCCAAATTCTCTCCGTACTTCTCCAAAGATTCCCCGAGCCCCCCACCCCGAGTTCTCGTACCCCTCCTTGTTCCTACCCCTCCTCCTCTCTCTCCCTACACACAGCCTAACCCTTTGGCCATTTCGTACCACATTAATCTCATAATGCTTGTAGGATTTACCACCTTCACCATACAATTGTAACTTCAGGCTAGGTCCCTCTGTGTGTATGTTTTGTGTTCTCTACTACAAGAGAACTAGAGAACGCCACCTCATATTTCTTGTGTAGCTTCTGATTTAGTGCTAGGCACACGGGAGGGAATCCATAAGTATTTGTAGTCTGGTCGCAGGTCGCACTGTGGGATTTCCGTCCCCAGGTCGCGGCTGCCGTTCCTCACCAGCGAGTGGGTCTCTTCCATCTCCACGAATGTAGGCAACAGATGCCGCGGCATCTCTAAACTGATGCTGGCTGCTCTCCTGAATCAGTTCCATAGCTTATATCAAGTCTACTGAGTTGAAAAAAATTCTAGGGATTTTTTTTTCCAGCTGGCAAGATGCTATCCTATGCTTAGAGAGAACCTGGATTAAACAGGTGGTCTGTAGCAAATCTTCCGTTCTCCCCTCCACCAAACACACACACACACACACACGAAAAAATAAAATGTATACCATGCCCACCCGCAACAGAACTACAGTGGGTGTCAGCTCAGTGACTAACAGTGAAAGGAAAATACACCCCTTTCACCGCCCTCCACCGGCTCTTTGGAAGTTATTTCTTGGGTATCTACCGCCATCTACTGGAAAAAGTGAAAAAGAAAAATCTGGCAGCCAAGCGGAGTATTTTTGTTATTTTACAGCGGCTTTCCACACACAAACATACACACACACAAATCATAGCATGCATTACAAGAGTTCATTTAAACCTCAGAATATAACCACAAGCCTTTGGCACAAATGTAAATTTTCATGCCTAAGATTCTCAATTTTTCTGGGATAGAACAAGGAATTATACTGGTTTTCAGCTCAGTGAAATGTTACCACATAAACTGGCTAAAGGAGAGTAGTTTAACACGATAATGGATTGGCAGTCTCTAAAAATGATACTCACTGTCTTAATATTCACCTAACACTGCTGCTTGTTTCATAAGTAGTATCTGGGGATTGGGGATTGCTTTTAGGCAGGCAAGAACCCTATCACAAAGGCAAATTCCAAGTTAATTCTTAATGTCATGCCAAAGTTCTGTACCACTGCAGGGACAGTATTACCATCAAACACATGGAAAGCATCACTTGTTAGTGAAAACATGTAAAAGCTGTTAACATAGCAGACGTTAAGTTGTTAGATATCTTCTAAAATACTGAAAATGGGTTAAGATGCTTTATCTTTTCATCCAAATCATATTTGAAACACCTATGGATGGGTTACACTAGATACCATCTAAAGCATTTCAGATAGATAAAGTCCTACACCCTGATGTTTTCAAATGGACACTGAAGAGGTGTCTAAGAGGACTGTCAGCATCATATGGAGGCCAAAGGAAAAGTATTTGGTGTGGAGGTAGGTAAGGAGGGAATTGGGGGGAATTGCAATTTTGGGGAAATAGTGAAGTCATTATTAGGGTACTTAACTTTGGTATACTAGGTGCAAGTCTTATAAAGAAGTGGTTTGTTCAGCATTTTCCTTTTTTATTTTACAAGAAAGCACTTTCCACTGGAGTGTGTCCAAACCAGCATCTGGCACCTGGGAAAGTGAGAGTTTGAACATACTGCACATAAAATGTAAATAAAATTTGGAGAATTGTCAGTGCAGCATGCCTTGGTTAGATGCCAAATATTGCAGCTGCCTTTTAAAGGGGTGTGGAAAAGAGGGGATTTGCAATGGAAATGATTCCAAAATCATAATTCTAGTGAGTGTTTGTTACAAGAAGAAGCTTGAGGAGACTCACTTGGTTTCCTGTAAAGAATAGCCAACATCCTTGGATTTACGGAAAATGTTCTTTCTGTTTATGTGGTTTGAGAGACCCACTTAAAGAGAATGTCCCTACTGGTATTTAGCTAGCTATGTTATATGAATTGACTGGCTATTCTGCAAAGTATTATTGTCTTAAAATATATGTTAAGGAGCTACAACATGCCTGACATGGTACGGAACACACATATGACAGAGTTTTCCTTTTGGGAAATTGCATTCTAAGGCATATGATGTTACACAAGTCATGCATAGATAAATACATATCTGTCACCTTTAAGATTCATAAGCCACATTCCTTGGTCTTCAGTTATAGCAGCATATGTGCACAAAGATGTATGTGTCAGATATTTACTGATACATTGGTCAGAAAAAGACTGGAAAACTGGAAACAGCTTAATGGCGTATCAATGAAGATGATTAAATGATGCTATGTTCATCATTTGGACAGCAATCTAGTCATTGAAAAGAATTAAGGAGATTTCTAAGTATACTCTGTCAGTCTGTGTTCTCCAGAGAAACAGAACCAATATATAGAGATTTACTAGAAGGAGTTGGTTCACCTGATTATGGAGGCTGAGAAGTTCCAAGATCTGCAGTCAGCCAGCTGGAGACCCAGGAGAACTGATGGTCTGGCTCCAGTCCGAGTCCAAAGGCCTGAGAATCAGGAAAGCTGAGGGTGTCAGTTCTGAATGTTCCTGTGCACACCCAACGTTATGGGTCAGAAAACACCCAGTTCATGATGGACAGATCAGGTAGCATGGTAACTTGGTGGCCCAAGCATTCAGTCTCTATTAAGACCCAGCAGCAGACTAAGGGCTGTTTCTCAAAAGGAGAGTTGTTATCTACAGAGAATGGCAGGCCTCACCTACAGATGCTGCCAAAGGCTCCAAACAGCATCATTATCTGCCTCTGACATACTTCAAGCCCCATCAGATCAGATGGATCATATGGTCCAAGGGACAGAGCAGCTGGTACAACAGCCTGGACCTTCTGCAGAGCTGTATCTTGTTCTGGGCCCCAACTCAAAGCCAGCAACTTTGGGGATGACTCAATAAATGGCCTAGAGCAACACGTCCAAATGAGGAACATATTGCCTCCAAATGCCTGGGTACACTGTGGCCCAGTCAAGTTGACACATAAAATTAACCATCGCATATGCTGACAAGAAGTATCTCTAAGATGCAGCACAAGAGAAAGTAAGGTACAGAACAGGTAGAAAATACTAAGCTATCATATGTAAATTTTTAAGTGGAGAAAAAATATATACACATACACAAATATAACGTTTATATGTGGATGAAATATATCTGGAAAGACATTTAAGAGCTAGTAACAAGTTGCTAGGGGAAAAGAATTGAAGAACTGGGAATAAATGTGAGAAAAACATGGAAGGTATTATTCTAGTCAAAAAAGAGAGTACTTTTTGAATTTTCAAATAAAAACGTATTCAAGGACAACATACTATAAGGAGAGGAAGGAATATTTAAAGTACATTAGGACATCTCAGAATAAGAGACAAAATGTCTCACACACACAAATTCAAATTCCATTAAAAACAAAGCTGTTAGCACAAAGCAAACCCTTTGATTATAAAAGTTTTCCAAGTCCACTTAGTTCAGGACATAACTGATTCAACAAAATCTGAATCAAAATTGATTCAAACAAAAAAATATATTACATTTAAATGGGAGTTCCCTGTAAAAGATTGTACCTGAGATAAAACGCTACAGTACAATTTTTGCATCTCTTTTATCTTTTCCTTTTTTGAAAGCTGGTCTGGTGGCAGATCCTCTAATAAGGGAAATTGCTTGATGGAGAGATGAGTGAGGCAAAATATGAAGGTGAGATTTGACAAAGATCAAGTTGAGGGAAGGAAGGAGGGGGGTTGTCCTCATTGGTTACAGCAGAAATGTGCTACTTACCTTTCTGACACCAACTTGGTATGTAACTTTGGAAATTTGCCATCATTGTTCTTTCCATGGTTCATTTTATCCCTCAGTCAAGCAGGAGTCCGGTCTTCTAGTTTCTGAAGCCACTTAACTCTTTACTGAGTCAGAAGTGCAAGGTACTGGAAAAATATTATGCATATTTCTATTTGCCTCCAATACTTTTCAGAGCTAATCTCAGGATCACAACTTGTCATCAATGTGACCCTCTTGCAGATTTAGCCAGAGTGTGTGATTCTTTACCCAAGTCTGAAGTAGTTCCTTACACCTACCAGACTGCCAGACTGAGTGCCAAATCCTCAACAGCTTTTCATGAGCAAAGCCAAAGCAACAGCCCAAGAGATAGTGAGCAGATCTGGAAATCTGGCTTGTTGGGTCTGGGTGAGTAAATAAAACTTCCAAACAATTATGCTGTGAGAGAAGTCTATTCCAGAACATTAAGACCACCCACAAGCATCAGTCTAGAGTTTTAAGGATGTGTCACTGGAAACACTACAGGATACCTCTGTTCTCACCATGGCTATCATAGGTCAAAAGCAAAAAGAATTAAGAAATAATAAAAAAAAATCTTCTAACAATTACACTTGACTGAGGACAAGGCACAAATAAAAGAAATGACACGGAATCTAGAAGTCCAAACTCACTTCTCCAACACCAATGGCCACATTTTATTCAGAATGATTCAGAGCCATCACTTCTAGCTCCAAAAGAGATTATCAAAAGCAGACAACTGGGAATGGGAATGTTTGAGGAAGCACTAAACTTGGACAGAAGCATGTGTGTCTTCCTGGGCACAAGTTGTAAAAGCAACACACAGAGTTTGGACTTTCCCGTGGCACAAAGAATTCTGAGCAGGGCGTGTGATCAAGCTTTGTGATCATTCTGCTGAAGGTCAGGAGAAGAGCAAGGTAGGAGGCATGCAGATCAATTATGAGCCTATTAGAAGAAAACTGAGTAGAGCCCAAACCAAACTGAGTAGAGCAATGAGTCTAAAAAGAAAGGATGGATTTGAAAAATATTTACAAAGTCTGTAGGGGATGCAGGAAGCCTGGAATCTGACACAGATGGAGCATTCACTCAGGACAGGCAGGTTTGAGGAGGAAAATAAATTCTAATTTAGGTCCACCCCAACCCGTAGCCCCATAACAGCGTCCACCTGTGTGGGTGTACAAGAAAAGTGACACTCCCTTAGATGAACCCTCTAGTCTGCCTCTCAGATCTGCATCCCTAGCCTTGGGGACCCTGATTTGAAGACATGACTTTTTTTTTTTTTTTTTTTTTGCTAACTGCTCCCTGATGGGTTCAGGCTGTTCTTTGCTTTCTGCAGCCTCCTGCTGGGGCTGGAAACTTCCATCCTTTTGCTGCCAGTTCACAGCCCTGAGCATTTCTACCAACCCCCACACTGATGCTGCATCCTGAGTCCTCAGAAAGCCCATGTGGGGCCAAAGTCTCTTCTTTTGGGGAGGGATGGGGGATGGAAGTTTCCCCCTAAAAGCCAAGTTGGCCTCAGCATCCTGAGTTCCGTTCCCGCTCTCAGTCCTACAAACTCTTCTTGTCCAAATGAGGTACCAAGGCCTGAGCAATGCCTTCGATGCCTGACTCTCTTATTCTGCTGTCTGATCAGTCCAGATACATTACTAGTCTGGATGGATACAACAGTTGGAGATCTATTTTAGTACCATAAAAACTACAGCAAAAGTTTTTCTGGGTTCATATTCAGTGTTCTCTCAGTTAGCTTTCAGGATCTGAGTTTGTCAGCCAGGAAACACTTCAATTAATTTAGTATAATACAAATTTGGCTTTTCGTGGCTATGCTAGTCCCACAGCCCTAATTCCATTAACAACTGGCTGGAGTGAGTAGCAGCCTTGCTCTCCATCCCGCCACAGCCACCTCCACTTCCCATCACCATCCTGGATTTTTCTTAAGTGTGCTAGGCTAGCTTCATTTATTCGTTCACTCATTTTTCTGGCCCCCTCTCTCCTCAAAGGTTTAATTATTGAATAAAACATTTATCCCACCATTTATACCACGCTTTCATGTTTACTTACAAAGCACCTTCCCCCACTGACAACTCACAACATCCGCAAGGAATTAGTAGGCTGGAAGGGCCAGTGGTGAGGCGCGCGCACCCCCTGCTGGCACCCCGGCGCGCTGTAGCCTCACCCCGCTCCCGCCTGTCCAGAGCTCGAGAGGAGGCCGAGACGCGAGCGCCCGGGCAAGGCTTCCTGGGAAATGTCTGGTGTGTACGTGTTAGAACTACAAGTCCCGGTAGGCACCGCGCTCAGCCCTGAAGATGAGGACACTTTCTGATGACTCTGAATCTTGTCAGTGCCTTTAGGAATGCTGCACAGGCCTGACTCAGTATTCACAGGAGGTTTTGGGAGAACACAACACCTCCGCTGGGTGCTCACAAACAGGCTTTGCTTCCGCGGCTTCCTAGGACTCGCTCGGTGTGGCGAATCTGCCGTTGCGGCACGATGGCTGGGCGCGCAAGGCCCTACGGGAAGCTTGTGGAATCTGCCGTGGGAAGAAGGACGCCAGGTTTCTGGGGCTCCTACCGTCATGGCGGCCACGGCCCCCGGTACCGGGGGCTCCGCGCCTGAAGCGGCGGCTTCCGCCGAAGCCCCGTTGCAGTACAGCCTTCTTCTGCAGTACCTGGTGGGTGACAAGCGTCAGCCCCGGGTCCTGGAGCCTGGGAGCCTGGGCGGGATCCCGAGTCCCGCCAAGAGTGACGAGCAGAAGATGATCGAGAAGGCGATGGAAAGCTGCGCCTTCAAGGCGGCGCTGGCCTGTGTGGGAGGTGAGGCGACGTGGGGGGCATTTAAGAGGCTGAGAGCTTGGAAGGCAGCGGGGTCCAAGAAGGCCGCGCACCTGGGAGGCGTGGAGCCCGTGGACCTTGACCTTGACCAGTCTCCACCTGGTTCAGTGAACTCGAGCAGCGCGTCCCTAGACCCCAATATTGTCTCTCGTCTCTGGAAATCGGGTCAGAGAATAGGTCCTGGGTCAGGGCCTTGGGGGTATAAGATGCTTGACCTCATTCATTCATTCATTCATTCAGTTTTAAATAATCGTTTTTAAGCAAATTGTTACTGAGCAACTATCACGTGCCTGGCAGTGGAGAGACAGGGCGAGAGCCTTGTCCTCACGAAGCTAATATTTTAATATACATAGAAATAAAAATGTTGAGAAGGAGCCTGGAGGAGAGTGCTGCAGACATAGGGAATAGCACCTGCAATGGTCTTGAGGTTAGAAAAAACCCCAGAAAAACGAGTGTGGCCAGTGTGACTAGACAGAGGGGGAATGAGGGGAAAAGAAGTTGACTTGGCTTTTTTTTTTGAGGATTTGAGAGTGTAGGTGTTCTTCCTGTGTGCGGAGTAAAGAGGCTGACCACAGTTGCAGATGAGTTGCAATCTCATTGAGAATGAAAGGCAGTTAAGAAACGAGCGTGGTGAGTGTAACAATGTGAAGTAGGGTAGAAAAAGAAGATTTTTTTTGGTTGGGGGAAGGCCACAAGAGGAGGTGAGACTGGAGCCATGTCTTGAAGGATGAGAGAATGAGGGTATACAAAGAGGAGGGGAACTGTCATTTCAAGATGGGAGTGGAGGGAGGTGTTTGGGCTTTTTGCCTGCAGGCATTAGGGCAGTAACTGATGGTTTTTTAGAGGGTAACTGGTGGTAATAAGCATGAGGACTCAGGGTGGAGTGTGGCAAAAAAAAAGAAAAGTCTGTAGATAGGGAGACCGAATAGGAGATTTGCTAGACTGAAGCTCTCTGAGACGTGGACTGGGTCTTTGTTCATCACTGTGTCAGATCCTAAAAAATCACTTATCTTTTGAAATGGTGGATGAATCTTTGGAGTGCTCCAGGTTGGAAGTGATAAAGGCCCTAGATTAGGATGATAATTGTGAACTTAGGGTTACAGTGAAAAGCAAAGAGCAGTCAGAAATGCCCCTGAAGTTTGGACCAAGAGTGATTGGAAAGAAGGAGCCATAAGTAGGAGTCTGGAGGGGAGGTGCCCATGATTTCGTTGAACATGTACTGACCTTGAGGTGGTGAGAGAGAGGAGATTCATATGGAAATGTCCAGCAGGCTCAGGAAGTCAGCTGTGGACAGCAGTGTGGGGTCTGTCATTTGGTAGCTTTGTGACCTTAGGGAAGTCACTTAACCTTTCTGAGCCTCAGTTTCTTCAGCTAGTGAAAGGAGAAAATGCTAGTATAGACCTAACAGGACTGTGAAGAATAAATAAGGCTGTGACTATAAAGCATTAAGAGTAATTGGCACATGGTACTTACCAAATGACTATTATGAATGTCACCATCATCACAGGAGTGGTTTGCAAAGTTGATGACTGATACTTGGGGGTGACTGGTTCACATATGAGAGTATAGAGAGAGAAAGAGGGTTAAAGACTGAATCTTGAGGAATGTTAGGAAATGAAAGGAGGAAGAAATCCAACAAGAGACAGAGAAGCAGCTGCCAGCAAGATAGAACCTGGACTGTGTATGTAGTACCAGGCAGGTGGAGAGTTTGTGAGGCAAGGGGGTGGGTGTTCCTTTCACTGGCGGCCATCCAAAAGGTGCCATTTGTCAAATTAAAAGTTAACAACAAAAAAAGTGCTGTTTGAGTTTGACCCCATTACAGTAATCCAGAAAACATGCCAAAGAAATCTTCATCTCTGTGTTTGTTTTTAGGATTTGTCTTGGGAGGTGCATTTGGGGTGTTCACTGCTGGCATTGATACCAATGTGGGCTTTGACCCTAAGGATCCTTACCGTACACCGACGGCAAAAGAAGTTCTTAAGGACATGGGGCAGAGAGGAATGTCCTACGCCAAAAATTTTGCCATTGTGGGCGCCATGTTTTCTTGCACTGAGTGTTTGGTAGAATCTGTAAGTGTCCCTGCCTTCTGAGAAAGCCTTGCCTGTTTTCATCTTACAACTTCTCAGGAGAAATGCTCTTAATGTTACTAGAAAGCAGATCAGAAATGTCCAATACTTGTTAGATTCAATTTCCGTTAAATAGTCCCTAAAGCAAATTTTTTGTGCGCTAATGATTGGGGCTTGCATTATTTTTTACTTGTTTTTGTAGGCTAGAAGTTGTAGGCTAGTATGTTAATAATTTTAAACATGAAACTTATTGGGGAACTTGAGAAGAGATTTTGATTACTTCTCAAATGTTGCCCTTGGTTTCAGTGCTCTAGGACACCTTCAGGAAGCGTTAGTGAACACATTCAAATTTTAGGAACTATACTTTTGAAAAAGAAAAAGATTAAGTTTCCTATGGGGAGGGACTGAATTAGCCAGCTTGAAACCCTGTTTTGTGTGTGTGTGTG